CTTTTCCTCATCCTCCTTCTCCTCCTCCTCTGCTCGAGGGAGAAGTCGTTCAGACATCTCCTCGTCCAATGCTTTCATGGAGGCCGTCCTGGTACGAGACTTCAGAGAAGCATTCAACGATCTTTCGTCGAGAGTTCCGGACTCGCCCCGCACGACGAGGGTGCCCTGAGCTATGACGTCCGACAGGGCTAGATTGGCCTTCTGGGGGTCAATGTGAGTCAGGCAGTCTGCTGGCATGCGACAGTGGGGGACCCACCTGACAACACCACCCTCGCGGGACATCGTATCACGCACTATGGCCATTTCTATGGCATTTCGCCAGTCCGCCTTCCTCCCCCCGGTGTTCTTGGAAAAGGTGTCGAAAAGGGACTTGGCGTCCACCGCAGAACCCCCCTCGGTAGCCCGATGGATCTCACATCTCTCTGGGAGAGCGACCGCAAAGGGCACGTCATCTCGCCGCCAGTCTGGCCCCCCCACGTCCCCATAGACAAGGTCCCGAAAACAAAAGTAGACCCACTGGGCCTCCGCCAGCTCCCCGGACAGGCTCAGGGTTTCCGCGGAAAGAGCGGAGGAAACCACGCGCTTGGGGCGCTGGGACCGCCAGGATCTGGGGGTCCCTCATCATCACAATCCCCCCCCCTGGGCCCCGTTATTCTTGGCGGACCCCTGGCCCCCCGCGTCGGAGCAGGTGACCATCGTGACAGCCGACATGTTGAGAGGCCATATGGTGAGGTAGACCTCAGCTGAGCTGCGAAGGAAACGAGCGACTTTGTTAACCATCAGCAGGCTCTTGATGGTCACGTTGGGGCACTCGGGCGCCAGGAGCGAGGCCGACCCGGCCACCTCGGGCCGGGACTGGCGAGCGGTCCACTGCACCTTGGCCACCAGGCCGCGGTAGTCTCGAAGTTCCTGAGGGCTGAGGGGTTCTTCGGGGCAGGGGGCTCGATCCCTGGAATGCTTGACTGGGTGAACCTGTTCTAACACGTACTTCCCCTGATCTATGATAATGCACCCGTCACTCATCTGCCGAATGCGCCTGCTGGCGTACTCGGCTTCCCGCTCCTGCCACTTCCCGAACTGGAACCGAGAAGCCAGGGGCTCTCGCAGAGAGGCCTCGTAGGCCGGCTCGCTGCCGATGATCAAGTCATCGACCTCAAGGACTACCAGAGCTTGCAGGGCCCCGCTCCCCTGGCACTTCTTCCAGATGCATGGCTCCAAAAGACTTCGCCCGAAGCCGAGGGAGTGAAGGTGGGAAGTCAGCGTCTGATGCCAGCGAATGGGAGCATCGTTGAGTCCGTAGACAGGGGCCACTAACTCGATGAGGCTTCCTCTGGGGAGTCCTAGGCCGTCGCGCGGCTCGCAATGCACCTGGCCTGCAGGACGAGAGAGAGGATCCGCCTGGCAGAACGCATTCTTGGCGCCCGCGAACAGCGGACGCCAACGCTTCCCGGCAATGACCTGCAGAGCGACGCAGATCGACTCCTCAGAGGGGGCGGGAGGGTAGACCTGCAACGATTCGGCGTCGGGATCGCCGTATCCTCGGACACACCACCTCGACTTGGGAATGGGAGCCGTGGTGGTGCCCTCCTGGGGCTTCCACCGCCGAACCATGCGGGGCGAAAGAATCCTGGAGGGAGAGTGGCGTCTGACCAGGTTGGCCAGCTCTGGGGGCAGCACCTTCACGGCTCGAGTGTCTAGGATGGCCTGCCATTCCTTGGCATCGGATCCCCGGAAGGCGTTCCGCTCCGACTGAGACAATTTGCTTCGCGCGACTTCCTGTCCTCTCCGGCCTCCGCCGTTCCCCCCAGGGGTTCCTGTGGCCCAGACGGCCCGGTCTCCGCCGGCGTCGGCTCGCCCGAAAAACTCTTCCCACAGCTCGCAATCTTGGACATCTTCTTCTGAGCTGGATTCGAAGTCGGAGCTCGGGCCGAAACACAAGAGACACTCCTCTGGGCACGTCGGAACTGGTGGTTCCAGTCCTGGAGGGAATCCCGGGTCTGGTTCCAGGGGGGCGGGGGGGCTGAGGGAGACGCTGGAGCCGGCCGCGCTCTCTGCCGGCCCGCTGGCTACTGCGCTCTCTGCCGTCCCGCCGGCTCGGGTGGAGATGCGCTGGTTCTCCCACTGCCTGACGCGCTCCGAAATGGATGAGTCCGCCAACTCCTCCACGGGAGTGATAGATGAGCTGCCGCCTCCTCCGTAGGGGTGGGCCCTGGAGGCCCGAGAAATCGAGACAGAGCGGACGGTGCGGCCTCGGTAGACCACCGGGGCTGGAGACGAGCTCTCCTCCTGAACAGGACTGAGGCCTCGCCTCCTTGAGGCTGGAGGCTCGACTCCCTCGGACGGGGCGGGGCGAGAGACCTTCGCGCGATCTGGCGCCTCGGAGGGGGTCCCTTCCTGCTCGGACGCGCCACCTGCGGCGTCGCTCTCTCTCTCTCTCTCTCTCTCTCTCTCTCTCTCTCTCTTCTCTCTCTCCTCTCTCTCTCTCTCTCTCTTCTCTCTCTCTCTCTCTCTCTCTCTCTCTCTCTCTCTCTCTCTCTCTCTCTCTCTCTCTCTCTCTCTCTCTCTCTCTCTCTCTCTCTCTCTCTCTCTCTCTCTCTCTCTCTCTCTCTCTCCCGCCGCAGGCCGAAGGACAGGGCGAGGGAGGGGGTCCGCCGGGCCCGGGAGTCAAAGGGTCCGTGGGCTGGTGAGCTTCTGATGAAACCTGGCGCGAGGGCAGTCCTGACGGCCCGGGGCCGAGAGAAGAGGGGGGGGCTTCTCCGGCTGGCCTTCCTGGGAACAGGCACGAATCCCTCCTCGCGACGACGCATCGGGGAGTCCCAGGCCTCGTCGGGGGGCGCCCCCTCTCCCTCGACGTCCACGGCACCTATCTTGCGACCAGGGTCGCGGATCTCCCGCTGCAGCGCCTGAAACTCGGGACTGTCAACCAGCTCGGCACCCTGGGGCTCTGCTCGATTCGCTTCGCGCACTTATTCGACACTGCATTTCCATAACCTTTTGCGCATGGCTACCCACACGGTGGTCCCCTTGTGGTAGACCACCGCGCCTGGGCCAACCCACCTGTCCCGCTGCAGGGCGTGAGTCTTGAGACCCACCGACTTCCTCCGGAGGAGCGAAAACCCACTGGCCTGGCAGAAAGACCCGATCCTGGTGCCGGCGGGCCCGAATTTGGCCTCGCCGGCCATCGAGGCCTTGCGTGCTTCCTCCCGGATACGGTGCTTCTGAGCGAAGCTCCCCGCCACCGTGTCCCGGCCGTCCACGTCAGCCTGGATGTCTTCGAGCCCGATGGCGTCCATGGGCTCGTCACTGAGAAGAGCCCGCGGGAGTCGAGGGTTCTCTCCGAGCACCAATTGATGCGGGGAAAAAGCCAGACCGGTGAAAGTATCTGTTCTTCGCAGCCACCGTTTCACACAGGAGCCGATCTACTTCTTCGGGGGTGGATGGGTTGATGATCGAGGACGCACGAGCGATCGAGTCTTTGCTCCGTCCTCCGTGGCGCTCGCATCTGCCATTTTGCCGCGGTGACGTGGCGTCACACTTGTGCTGGAACACGCCCAGATGTTCACATCCTCTCTCGAAGGCTCCCTGGAAATCCGACCCGCCGTCCGTCATCGGCACCTCGGGAGGGCCGAAGACTCTGATCCAGGTACTTTCGAAGGCGGTCCAAACGCTGAGCGACGAGGTTCCGTGACGGACAGGAAGCACGTAGCATTGTTGGAAGCTGGTTCCGTGATCCAGCACATTAAGCACCGGGACCTGGGTTCCGAGGACGCTCAGGTAGAACAGGTCGGCCGCTACGAGCCTGTTGACATGGGAGGTCCGGGGGGCCGTGGCTTTTCGTCTCCAGGACGGCTTCTTGTGGCCCTCGCAGGCCTCGCACCTGAAATCGTTGCGGACATATCTCAGGACGTCCTCCCGGGCCCGGGCCACGGTCAGCAATCTGAGGAAAGCTTCTTTGCCAGGGTGGCCCATGTTCACATGCACCTTCTGGACGAGGGTCTGGAGTGCTCGACTGATCATAGGGCTGCTCTCTCCTTCCTGCTTGTCTTCCGCCTCCTCCTCTCCTCCGGCAGGCTGGCCCTCCTCCGCCTCCTCAACCTCCTCTTCTCCGACATCGGAGTCGGCGTCCCCGACGGCGGCCGCCAGGGAGTCGAGGTCCCGATCGAAGAGGAAGCCCACCTCGGAGCTCAGCTCCTCCACATGTCCTACAGCCCTGGCAAGAGTGGTCTCCAGGACTCCCTCGCAGATAGCTCCGACGAGGGGGGGGGGTGCACCTGAGCTCGACGGGTGGCCGCACCTCCGACAAGGTGACCGTGCAGGTGGTCTCCGGAACACGTCTTGAGGAGAGGCGCAAAGAGAGAAGGACGGTTGCACAGAAAACGAGTCGGTTTTTTGTTCAAGAACTTCCCGTCAACAGACAGACCGAACTGGCACTGGTCGCACTGCCCAGTGACCACTCCGGGCAGTTCGCTCAGCAGGCGAACCGTCTCCAGCTCCCAGGGGCTGGCCCCAAAGGGGTGCTCAATCACAAAGGCCCTCTCGGAGGCCATCTGGAGAAGAGCGATTCGAACACAGAAGAACATGTGCTCGATGCCTTGTCTTTCGACCCGATCGCGACTCTCCGGGGGCGTGCGATTCCAAGCCGACCGACGGGGGGCTGAGAAAGCCTCGCATTCGGGGCTCATGCTAACGACCTCTGGGCGTTTTTGTCGAACGATCTCCTCGGCAGCGGCCTGTCCCTCGGTAGTGCCTAGGTCCCACCCGGTACTGGGATCCATGCTCTTGGACGTGCGAAACCCTCGGTCTCGGAGCTCCTGGCAGACTCGAGGGGGGGAAAACAGCTCCAAGGCCAAAGTATTGCTCTGTCGTTTCAGCCATTCCTGGACCCTGCGTTTCCTGGCTCGACGTCCGAGGACGGGGGCCTGACTCAGAAAACTCGCGGCTTGTCTCACTGCCCTGGGAACGGCGCGCCCTCGACTCAGCTCCTGTTCGTCGTGAAGGTCCTGGCAGAGCTGGAAGGCCCCTCGGGTGAGAAGCCCAGAGAACCTGGCGACATCCTCGGATCTCCAGGCCTCGGACTTCAGGACGTCCTTGCTGGAGCTGCGGATGGCGTTCTGTAACTGCGCTGGCGAGAGGTCAGGAGTCAGGGATTCCAAAAGGGGAATGCCCTCATCCGTGACTCGCGCCCGTGTGTATCCCCGGAGGCTCTCCTGGAACTCTCGACCCTCTTCCCCGGTCACCAGAAAGACCGCCGCCTGGGCCAGCAACTGTGTCTTCTCCGAGTCACTTAGGAGGGAGGGGGGCCATTGCCGATCGGTCGTGATCTGATCCAGCTCGATCGCATTGCCCTGGGCGTCGCCCCACTAGGTGGAATGAAGCGAAAAAGAGAAGCTCGCTCGGACGGCTCGACTGGCCGCCTGAGCTGATCGCCAGACGAGCCGGGAGTCCCCCTTCCCAGCGTCCCCCTTGTCGATCCTGAGAGATCCCCTCCCTACTGGTTCATGGTTGCCCCCCGCCCGTTCCTCGTCTCCTGCTTCAGCGCCCGACGCGGCGCTCAGCTGCTGGGCCCGCGGCTCGCCAGAGCCTGCACGGCCTCCGCCATCTGCTGCAGGGCCTTGTTGTTGTTGTCGTCCAGGGCCTTGAGGACCTTCGCCGTCGTCTCTGGTCCGCTGGACTGGGCGCCCTTCTCGGTCTTCACCTTGGTGGCGGGTGCCGTCACCGTCTTCTTGTAGACCGGCTCGGGCTTGATGGCTAGCGGCGGCGGCTCCGCCTGAGCGGACGGGCGGGTGTGATCCGAGTGCCGGTCCCTGCGCTCCTGAGCCCGCTGCAGGCAGTCGAGAACCTGCTACGGTGAGCGCCTCTCGATCCACAGCCGCGTCTTGCACTTGAGGCAGTGCTCGTACTTGGCGTACTGGTTGGTCCCGCGGCGCCGCGCCCACCTCGGATGGTCGCACTCCAGCGCCGCCTCCGGGGCCCTCTCGCCGCTCATGATGTTGGCGTTCATGATCGTGGCCTTGGCGTTGGAGCTCCAGATGGCCCGCAGCGTCATACGGCGCCAGGTCTGCATCGTTGGGGGAAAAATGATCTTGCCCGTCGACAGCTCCTCTTGGTCCGGCTCCGGGTCGGTCGCCTCCGAGCCCTCGTCCATGCCGATGGTCTCCCACTCGTCCTTGGCCTTCGTCTCCTGCTGTGCCTGCTGACGGCGGCGCTGCATAGCCCTCGCCTCTTTGATCAGCTTGGCCGGGGAGCCGCTCTTCGACTGGAGAGTCTTGCGCACTGGATGGGGGCGCCCCGCGGTCAGTGCCCTTGGAGTAGTCGGACTGGCCGCCTCGCCAGCGGTCCGGAGAGAGGCTGGGGGCGCCATCTCGATCTGGTGGTGAAGAAGTCGGCCCGCGGGCCTCGGTAGTCACGTCGGGGAGGCTGGGCCCGCGGGCAGCCTCAAGCTTGGTCTCGAGCTCGATGGCTACGGACGTGCGATCGACCTCGGGTTTCACGGTGTCGCCGAAGTCGTGCACCCCTTCCGGGAGGTCTCCGGGCGCGGCGCCGCCTCCTTCTTCCTTGTTGGCCTCCCTCTCCTCCTTTCTCTCCTCTTCCTGCTGATAGACTCCTGTGCCCTTTCCTTCCTCGTCCTGTAGGTGACCTCCTGATCTCATGCTTTCCTCGACGTGCCAGCGTACTGGGAGCCCCGACGGGGCCTCCTCCATGTCGGGCCCCGGGACCTGGTCACTGCCCCCAGAGACCTTCTCCCCGCGGATCTCCTGGAGCCCGGAACCGCCCGATCGGCAGGCGTCTTGGCTCGAGCCGATCTCGAGAAAACAGGGCGAGGATCGGGGGAGGAGATACGAGTAGGCGCAAATGTCAGCGGCCTTCAGTCCTGGCCAGTCCACCGCGGCATCCGCGGCCACCTCGAACAGGAGCGGGGGCCGGGCGCCGAGCAAGCTCACGAGCCTATGCCCGGGCGGCTCCCGGTGCGAGGGCAGCTCGGTGCCGCTCAGGTCGATGACGTCCTTGCGCAGGTCGACCACGGCGCCCACGGACTCCGGCCACTTCACAGGCAGCAGCGGCGGAATCGGGCCCTCCACGATGCGAAAAAGGATAATCACGCTCTGGTTTGGAGTCGCGGTGATCGGGATCAGGGCCTCGCCGATGACCTTGGCGCTTCCTCCGACCCCCCTGGCCTGGCCGGCCACTTTGCCGTGGCGAGTCGGAATCTTCCAGCCTCGGCGAGCGTAGGCGGCCTTCAGCTTCTCCAGACGCTCGCTGCCCGCAAGTGCCTGGCCCGCCGCCGTGTCCACCATGCCAGCTGGCTCGCGATCGTCGTCCAACTGCCGCACGCCGTCCGCGACCTGGGCTGCGGCGCGACAGATCTCCTCGATGCGGACGGCACCCGCCAGCCAGGTCATGCCCGAGCTCGCGCCGTCGCCCCCCCTGACGTACATGGGGCCGCGCGGCCGAGTCTCGGCCTTGGAACGAGGCTTCGGACGAAAGGGGTTCGGGCACTCCTTCCTCCAGTGCCCCTTCTGCCCGCAGTTGGCGCACTTGCTGCGGGCCTTCAGCTTCTCGATACTCAGTCGTTGCTTGCCCGAGCCCACCTTGCCTCCGGAAGCCTCCGCTTGCTGTCGAAGAAGTCCCTGTCCCTGGCCATCGCGCGCTTCAGCTCCTTGCTCTCGGCCCATCGCCTGGGCTTGCCCTCCTCCTCGCGCATCTCGTCCAGGATGGCGCCGATCACGGCGCGCAGCTGGTCCTCGTCTAGGTCTCGGTGATCCACAGCCACGTGCACCGCCTCGGCGTCGTCGTGCTCGAGGACGGAGTCCTCCAGGAACTCGACGACCCACTCCTCCATGTCTTCCTCGTCGTCGCCTGCCTGCTCCTGGACGGCGGCGACAGCATTCTCCACGGAGGCGAAGACCCTCGACCGGGCCCCCCCGGCGCCTCCGGCGGAGGCCTTGGTGGCGATGCGCTTCGCGTCCATTCTCATCATGGCTTTCTTGATCGAGTCCAGGTCGTCTCGACCCTGCGATATGCTCAACATGTTTATGAGGTTTTGCTCCGACAAGTGTGCTCCGGACTTCAGCTGCTCGACCTGTATCTTCTCGAGCCAATCCGTACTTCTTGGCCTCCCTGACTTCTAGATCTCGTGGCTGTATGAACTGCGTGAGAGATTCCCCCGGCTTGATGGCCACTTCCTCCAGGGCTCGCCTGAACGCTTCCTTCTGCTTATCGTCGTCTCGATCACCTCGGCATTGTCTGAGGTATCGAATGAGAACTTCCAGCCCGTCTTCTGAGTCGATATCTTCCTGAATGTTCATCAGCTTCTCCTGCAGCTCTAGCGGCAGCTCGTCGACCACTCTTCCTCCCTGGGCTGCTGGGGCCAGGGAGGACCTCTTGCTCGTCGCGTCCGCCTGGACGTCCGCCGCACGCTGCACGGGGGCCGCAGCCGGCGCCCTCGGCGCGGCAGGCGGGGCCGCGCTCGCTGCCGCGGCTGCTCCCAGCCGCGTCGCCGGCGGCGCTGCTGGCGCGAGGCTCGACCACTGCTGCGTCCCCTCGCGACCCAGCCACATCGTCGCGTAGCTGGCCGTCTCGACGGCGGGCGCCCGGGCTTCGGCGGCAGCTGTGCCGGCGGTCCGAGCGAACCCTCCCCATGGGTCTCCCCGCAGCCAGGGATCCCCCCCCCGGCGGTCATCAACCCACTGCCACGACCACGACCAGGTCCAGCCCCCCTGACGGCTCCATTCCTGACCCCAGTCAGGTCTACCGGCCGTCTCGCTGTCCTCTGGCTCGTCCCGTAGTGGATCTCGATCGCCTGCGGGGGCAGGCGGCTGCTGGTCACCGGTGTGGGCGGGCTGCTGTACGTCTGCCCTGCCCTCCTCCTCTGCTCTCACTTCAGTGTCGATCCGCCCTGGATCTGCCTCAACCATGACTGCTCCGCTTACCATTGTTCGTCGCACGTCCCTGTTATGACACAGTCTGGGCAGGCTGAATCACAGAAGGAGAAGAGCTGGGGGCTCGGGTCATTTCTCAGCGTCGCGCCCTTGAGCCACAATGCCCGCAGACAGTACACGCGAGGGGCAGCACTGGGGGGGACAAGGGATGGGGTGTAAAGGAAACGTGCGACAGAGTGTGCGCTGCGCTTGAGCGAGTCACATTTGGCAAACGGCCAGCCCTCCATCCCTGAAGCTGTTGCAAATTTTGAAATGAATGTGCGCGGCGTTGAGGCGAACGCACCATTTTGAACAAGAACCGCCCTCCATCCTTGAGGGTGTTGCACAATTTTCGGTCGAAGGTGCGATCCGTGAAACTGTTGCAAGCTTTTGGAACAAAGGTGCGCGGTGCGTAGGCGAGCGCCACATTTGCCACATTTAGATCCCCCCTCATTCACGAAGCTGTCACACACTTTTACGAAACGAGCATGCGCGGTGCTAGGGCGACAGCCAAACTTTGCAGACCATCCACCTTCGATCCCTAAAGCTGTTGCAAATGCAATGATCTAAAACGAACGTGCGCGGCGTGAATGCGAGAGCCCCACTTTGAAAACGATCCGCTCTCCGTCCTCGAGGCTGTTGCAAGCTCTTGCGTCGAGTGCGCGCGACCCCTGGGCGGCAACCGCATTTGAAAACGACTTGCCCTCTACCATCGCGCTGCCCTTCTGGACTGCTTGTCATCACTCTTGGGGCGGCGCCCTGTTCGACGTGAGCCAAGAGCCAACGCGGCTCCAGCCCTCGTCACGTGGCGACGCATGGGGGCATGCGCAGCTTCTGTCCTGCACTGCTCCTCACGTGACTCTCTCGACTCCTCACGCGTCAACGCACAGGGGGCGGAACAGATCCGAACATCCCGCGCCTTCGAGACGAACCCACGATCCCGCGTGAAAAACGATGGGGCCGCGCTTCCGAGGCCACGACCCCATGTAAGAAGCTCGGTCATCCGCGCCTTTGAGGCCACGATCCGGCATACAGAGGACGAGGGATCGGCGCCTTCGAGGCCATGGTCCCACGTGCAAGATCGTGGGTCCGCCCTCCCGAGGCCAAGAGACAAACCATGGATCCGTGCCCCCAAGGCCACGATCTCTTGTAGAAAACGATGGGGCCGCGCCTTTGAAACCACGATCGTTTCTACGACAATGGTTCCGCGTCTTCGAGGCCGCCATCTGGTGCAACAAACGTTGGATCCGCGCGTTCGAGGTCACGATCCAGTGTAAGTAAAAAGCAAAAGATCCCCGCCTTCCAGGCCACGACACCTTGCAGAAACCACTGTTCCCGCGCCTTCAAGGCCACGATCCCCTGCATAGCGAAGGAAAAATCCGCGCCTTCGAGGCCACGATTCTGTCTAAAAAGCGATGGCCCCGCGCTCCCGCCTCCTCCTCCTCCTCCTCATCCTCCTCTCTTTCCTCCTCTTCCTCCTCCTCCTTTTCCTCCTCCTCCTCCTCCTCCGCCTCCTCCTCCTCCTCCTCCTCCCATGTAAAAAACGATGGGTCCGCGCGCTCCGAACCCGCCAGCCACTCAGACGGGCGTCCTACCGGATGGCAGGCCTGTCAACCAACCCTTCAGCCAGTCAATTGGCTAGTCAACCCGCCAACCGTCTGTCTAAGACTAAATCGGGCCTGTCCCTTCACAGGAGGAAAATTCAAAAATAATCAAAACATAATCAGGGGACGATCTTTCGATTACTTGTGACGATTTTGATTTTTTTTGACTCTTTTCCATCTTTCGCCCAAAGTCCCCCTTGTAGGGGTACACGCCCGACCCGAGTCTAAGAAGCCAACGCGACAGCCAGATTGCCAGCCTGCCTGCCAGTCAGCCAACCCACCCAATCACAGCCCCGCCACGCAGGCACTCCGTCGGGGTGGGGGAGCGGCGGCGGCAGAGGGCGGAGATCTCCGGACAAGGCAGGAACGAGAAAAGGGGCGCGGTGGCGGGGTCGGCCGACGGCCGCAAGGTACGCGATTGCTACCGCGACGCTCCTGCTGCAGGCGTCGCGCCTCCACGGACGACGCGTACGAGTGACCCCCCGTGGGGGACATGATTCGAAGGCCCCGCGGCAACTTCTGCCCGCGAAGAAGGCAGTCAAAATGAAGAGATTATTCAAATTGCTTCCGCAGGCCCCGCCCGCTGGAAGAAAACCCGCCTTTGGCCACGGCGCCGGGCCTCGAGCTGAGGACCTGACCCCCGACGGTGAGGGATGGGGCTGCGGGAGTCCATCCCTGCGAGCCCGCTGTGCAACTCCCCCGCTCGGGGAGAAGGGGCGACTCCTCATGGCAAAGCTTCGGGTGGCGCGCAGACAGCCTCCCCTGGCAGGTCCTGGCTGGCCTCAGCACGCCCTGGCCTCAACACGCCACCCGCGTAGTCCTGGGCGGTCTCGACACCCTGGCGCCGCCTCCGGCGGCGCTGCTGGGGCGCTTCGCGCGCCCCAGAGTTGGGGTGTTGAGACCGCCTCAGTCTACTTTTGGGGCCTCTTAAGCTCGGCTGGGACTACTCGGGGGGCGTGCTGAGGCCAGCCGGGACTACCTGGGGGGGCTGTCTGTGCGCAAGCCGAAGCCGAACGGCAGATTCGTGTCGTGACGTCTATGGAGTTGCTGTCTGACGTCGCGCGGACCGTCACCCCTTTTGAACGGTCGGCGGCTTTCCGATCGAGAGATCCTTCGCTATTGGCTGATTCTGGGCCACTGGCGGTGTTCAGTCTTGGGCGCCCACGGCGGGAGCGCCGCCGCGTCGACACGACACGAACCCGAATCCGTACCAATCCCACCAGCCCTCTGGGCGTAGGTGGTCTAGGGCGGCTCCCCATCCAACCCTCTTTCTTCCCCTTCGCGGAGGGGTTTACCCCTCCCCCTTCCCCCTCCCCTGGACTTGGACGGGGGGGGCCGCGAGGTGCCAGAGCGTCCAAAACGGCCTCGGCGAGGAAACCACAATCATTGGTTTTACCAAGGTTTTGGCCCCATTTTGGCCTCTTGGGGAGGCGAGGCTAATTGAGGCACCCCCCTTCTTTGATCGATGTCCTCCAGGATGGCCCAAAAAGGCGCCCAGGAGGCCCCCGCCCGGGAGGCCCCCTTCTCCCCACTCCCTCATCCATCCATTCAGACTCCTCCTTCTCCTCCTCCGTCCTTCGCACGATTCGGCCGTACACCTCTTTGATCCCGCACTTCCCTGATCACCTCAACTCGCCTGGACATCGTTTCTGGATGGGCTGGTGGGGATATTTTTTCCTCGCGGGCGCAAGCGAAAGCGCTAGCGCCGAGTTGAAAAGGTCCGGGCCACGGGCCGACCTAATTTACACGCGCGGGCGAGGCCGCCTACGGCGTGAGGGGAGGAGCTACACGCGAGCCTAAATGCACAGCGACCGAGCGCGGGACCAGAACCTACCGCCGGGGAGGCAGCTGGCTGAGGCTGAGCTGGCTGAGCCGACTGCAATCGGCCAAGGAAGCAGCTGCACACGTGCGGGACCCAGAAAGACAACCGGGTGAATTGGATCCTGCACGCCAGGAAGTCGTGACCTGTTCTGTATCT